ATTTTCAAAGCACAAGGCTATTTTAAACAAATATCGATGTCGAACAATAGTTTCTCTTTGAATACCCAAAAAAGTTTCACTAACAAAAATTATCAGATTTGGTCAGTGAAAATGAAATCATATTTTATAACCTATACCATGTGTTGTTGTGATGGAAGAAAAATCTTAGAACAACACTTTGCAAATCTTACAATTGTCCATATAAAAGCACTTTCAAATGAATTTCTACACAAGACAATGTCATGGAAGGTGTTTTCGAAGCACAAAATGAAAAGAAGAAAAAATCACTATTCGGTGGCATAAAATTGAGGAGCAGTTTTTAAAATTGCTTAGAGCAAAAATTGAGGAGCAGTTTTTAAAATTGCAGTAATTAAAGCAAAGGGGGAGTGTTGAAATTAGCTTGTAGTTACTGCAGTAGTAAAATAAGTTGTTTAGTATAAGATGAACTTGAATTTTGAATTTTAATTAGTTTGTTTATGTGAGATACTTTAGGTTGTTTAAATTTCAAATTATGCTGATTATGTGTTTTATGTTGACTATTTAAAGCCCTCAATGCTTAATAAAATTATTGAAATCAATTAAAAGTCAGTTCAATCCAAAGTGAGACATTTTCAACCCTTCTTTTTACTGCCCCATCTTTTAAAAAAACCAACAGAGGGTATGGATCCAGGTATGGATATAGGTGCACGGATTTCACTAAAAATAATTCAAACATAAAAAAATATAGTTATAAAAATCTGCTTAAATTATGGTCGTCTCCTAGCTCTCAAAGTCGAAAAGTGCAGAATAAAATGTTTTTGGGGTTTATTTCCGACTTAAATCGCGATTGTCCCGCCACAACGGTACTCACCCTGCTACAAAGGCCCCACCCTGGCGGGAATAATCCCGTCTTAGCGGCTTGCACGGAACCAGTGAGTCGATTTAAGAATTCCAAACTCCCATTTCACAACACATCTTCAACCAACGACACTCAGAAACTATCCGTTCACGCTAAGATCAGTTTCGGGAGTTCTACTCACCCGAAATCAATTCCGTAAAGTCGTACGGTTTCCTTAACGTCTTAGCTATCTACTCATATGATCAATATCATAATTAAATCTCCCAATTGTTACCAGATTTTCCTAGACCTTACTAACTCCGATTTCATCCAAATCTGGACTAGATTGGGAAATTCCAAGTTACTACGAAAAAGTTTTCAGGCCCAAAATTTTTCCTGTTGGATTTTCTATAACGACGGGAACAAGTCGTTACAGAGGAGCCGAATATTGACCGTAAAGTAAATTCAAATTTGGATATACGTGCCCATTGGAAGGAAAATAGACTAAAGTATTCTGAACTCTCATTGATGGCAAGGGGCGTCTTGAGTAGACCTATTACCATACTAGCCTTTAAATCTATCTTTAGCATTGAATGTCGTATTATTTTAAAATTTACGAGTTCTACTTTACCTGGAAATGTGGAGGCGAAGTTATGTACTAGCTAGAGATTGACTTTATGGGCAAGAAGGTAAAACATTCTACACATATTACATATTTATTTTGTATTGATACAAATTGGTGTTCCAGTAAATAATTTTCCTTCCTTTGTGTTTGTTTTCTTAAGGTTCCACTGAATCTGATTCTGATGATAATGAGATTGTAGTAGACCTCAGGCCGTATTTTGATAGAGTGCAACATGCTTGCAATTGATCTTTAGGATGACATGTTTTAGGCGGGGTAAGCTTTTATAATTTTTTCATTTGAAAGTTTGACAGGAATCAATCTATATATAATAATAAAGCTGAAAATGAAAATGGTGATATGACGCTCTCTATGAGCTTCAATTCTATTTATTTTTTTGTGATTTTTTTTAACCTTTTCTTTAATTTTAAAATACAAAAAAAATTCACCTAAAAATTTAACGAATATTAAAAATAATCATATTTAATTATATCTTTATCAATAGCCATATTTAATTTATTTTGTCATTAATGCTAGTATTCTCTTTTCCTAAGTATTTCTCAATTTCTCATCAAGTATTACAAATCTTTTCATTTGATTTTTAAAATTTCCGACAAACTATTCACGATAGTTAATTTTATGGTTTTTTAATGGTCATTCCTTTCTTTGTTCTTTTTTCACTTTTTTTATTTTATTTATTCAATTCAAGAAATTTATATCTTTATATAATATAAATGTATTTCTTTTATCTTCTTTATTTGTCTTTTTTCTTATTTATTTAATTTTTAAGTTTCACTTTCATAACTTAAATCGATTAAATTTCTATTCTTAATAATATTATTAATTCCATGACTTTTAAGTTTTCATATTCATAACCTCCAACTATTAAATTATAAAATTTAAGATACTTTATGATATCTTTCCATTTTTATCTATATAAATTCACAAGTTTTTGTTTCATGAAATCCTAACTTATGATTATTCTTTATATCTTTATGTTTCATTGTTCTTTGTAGTATTATTATATTGTCAAATTCATGCTTTAACTTGACAAGATGAAGAATACTTGAATATTGATTAGTTTGTCAAAAGAAGAGGGTGTCAGACAAGAGCTCAAAAAAATGGGCATTGATTTTGTATTGTTATTTTTATCTATTTTCTTATGATGAGGTCCTAGAATATGATGTTGTGCTTATGCTGAGATTTTGCATGTCACAAAGTCTTATCGTAAGCACTTGCCATCTTTTTTTCATATGCACTTAACAAGATAAGACTTTGAAGGAAAAGGAAGAATGATTTTTGAAATACTTCATGCACTGGTTTTTGTGTGGTTCCATTATTGACTTGATCATTCATTGGTAATGACTTTGATGACACATTTAGCAGATTACTAGAAGAAAGATGCATACGACTTCCGTTATTCTTGATGAGAAGCTTGCACAATCTTTATTAAAATATACATAGAGTGGGTTGTGCAAGCAAGAATTATTAGGAAGTATATTTTCTTGAGTAACATGTGTAATTATACAACAACATAACCAGTGAAGTCTCACAAGTAGGATCTGGGGAGGGTAGAGTGTGTTCAGACCTTACCCCTATACCTGGAGCAAATCAAGTAGTTATACTGTGAAGGAATAATTGTATTTCCATAAATCAGGATACTTTTCTCTTTGTATAGGATACATTAAGTTCTAAGTAAGGCCTATTAGACTATTAAGTGTGCCATGCTTTCTCCATCCTTGTGTTTAATACAAAACTTCGTACATTCTTGTATTTATACATGACTCAACTCTTCTCTAGAGAACCTTTTCCTTCTCTCATCTTAATTGCTAGAAATATGCATGGTTGTTGATTAAATTTTGGAGGGAGGCTTACTTGACTTCTCACAGAGGAGAAATTTCTACATCAAGTATGATGAAGGAGTGAAGGACTTTAACGTTATTATTTTAACCTTTCCTTCTCAAAACACTTGTAGCCTCATGAGTACATTTCTTCTATGAGATGTTTGTATAGTGAAATATGCGTAATTACACATGCTTCTCTTGTAAGTTTGCATCACCATTTCCTCAAAATGGTACTAGTGTCATTCTGAGAGATATACGTAATGCATGCTCATTTTGCAATAAAGTGTTTGTGAAATGTTGTTAACATGTGTACTTTGACGGCCTAGTTTTGTACTCCTGTTTATAAACTGATTTGGAATAAAAGTTTGAAAGAAACAATGTATGACACTAATTCAAAAAATAATTTGAAGGATTTGTGCTGGACTTTGTGGATAGATTTTTTGCCTTGAATGTATTACTTATGGTGAAGTCAAATGATTAGTTTCGACAGAGTGATAGACAATTTAGTGTAGTAGCACAAAACATAATAGTTGGCTATCCAGTGCCAGCCTTGTTCTGATTGCACGAATTTGTTTTTAATTTTGTCCAAATGTGATGTAGTTTGTACAACGTCATGTGGATAATGGGAAGTGAGAGGTGCAATTAGAAGGACTCTATATCCCATTATATAAGAAGAGTATAGATGCAAGCATAGGTAAAAGGGCATTCATTAAATAAAACAGAGGAAGATAAAGGGAGTGGGTGAGACCATGGTGAGGAGTTTCCTAAGGAAGAAGTATGAGTGGAGTTGGGAGCTGCGAAGAAGACGCAATTGCTGGTCTCAACATGGATTTATTTCATTGTTTCTGGAACATAGCCAGGAGTGACATCATTGAAGGTGGTAGAAGACTATTGAAGTATGGAGAAATTAGAATAGGAACTCGACACATCTTTTACTGTAGTTATTCTAAAAGATGGTGGAGCATGCTACATCTCGTGCTTGCATCTTTACTACAGTTATTCTGAAAGATGGTGGAGCATGCTTCATCTCGTGCTTGCAAGGCACAAGGAAGGGAATATATAGGTGAATATAGGAATAAAACAAAGTGTCACACTTGATTTACAAAATTATAGACATGCATATAATAATCATATTATAAGTGCTCCACATTAGTTGACGAAATAGACTGTTGTCTCTTTGTATGGTTTTGAGCAACGCTCACCTCATGAGCTAGCTTTTAGAGTTGATTTAAAGCAATCATTCATTTTCTTAACATGGTATTAGAGCCAAACACATCCTTGTTCTTGGTTCGCCCAATATCATCCACATAACAGATTATCCATCGTGGGAGTGCAGCAGGAGGGGGGAGAGTGTTAAGTGTCCCACATTGGTTAAGGAAATATATTGTTGTTTTCTTTATATGATCTTGGGCTATTCTCTCCTCATAAGATAACTTTTGTGGTTGAGTTAGACTCAATGTCTGTTTATTAACAAATTATAACATGCAGTAACTTCGATATATTACCTATTCTTCCTTCTACCTTAATTTAATCCATCAGAGGTATAAGAAAGCATAAAATGTCGTCACGCTATAAGAGATGCAATATAACACCAGATTGATTTTGTAATGTATAACCGAAATAATGTCTTATAATAATCTGTCCATTGCAATATGTATCGATGTGTATTGACCAAGAGCTATTTTTTCGAATTACTGCTTCAAATTCATTTTGCTAGTACAAGGGGAGTCTTAAATATGTTCCAGAATGAGGTGATTCTTTATGGAACTTGTTATTACAGTACCCTGCTCCTTCTTGTACTGTGCAAAGAAATAGATGTTACTATTTCATTAAAACTTCATGCTAATATTTCTATTTCATTACTCCGGACGAGTTCTTTGATTCTTTCTCCTTTTGACTGTTGCAGATGTTCCAAAAGAGTGGAACTCGATGTTGAACCAGCTTGACCAACTCGGATTTGATGGTTTGGAGGTTCACATACCTCTTAGACGTTGTTTATCGCTACTTCCTTTACTTGGACATCTTTCTAGTTTTGATCTGACATTTATGTTTTAAGTGTTTGTAAATGGATCAAGAGGGAAAGTATAACAGGTAAGTTACAAGTTAATAGTGTAGTTGCTCCTACACTCTTTGCAAGTTCTATTGAGTAAAAAATAGTCAAAGTTTGATGAGAGCTGCCTTTTGTTTTAATATATAGTAATTTGGACCAATATTTTAGTAAGAAATTCTAATTTTTCTTCATACTGAAATGCTGATGTGTTGTGTTATAAAATATCATCTGGTCATACAGTTGTAGCTCTCATATTGCAAGGAATTGCTTGCTTGCTATGTAGTTTTTTCCTCTTACGGGTCGTTTGGTACATGGAATGAGATAAGCAATAATTTTTTGTGTGATTTGTACCTTCTATATGAGATAGTAATTTCGAGATTACTGATACCTCAAATCAAATTTGGACAAACTTAATCTTAAATTTATTCGAGATTATTATCTTTTATCGACCTCTACTATGTAATGGTAAAGCTAAAATCTCAGGCACCACAAAAAGGGAGAAATGGGCAAGTATCCACCTTTTGAACGGTTAATCAAATTTAGCCTACGTTTGAAAATTAATTTAATTTAATTTTTTAATTGTTGAAGTGTCGTTCAGAAGGTGACATGATCAGATTGTAACATAAAAATCTTTAAATTTCGGTGCTAACGTGAAATATTATGACCCTATAATGTGTTCTTGGAATTAAAACTGACGGTTGAAATTTCAACCTTGTGAATTTTTATAAGTTTAAACTTCACGATTTTCATTAAACTCCTAGGTATAGTCTAGAGTTTCATTTATATATAAAAAATTCATAGCAAGATCTATTTGAATATATATATATATATATATATATATATATATATATATATATATATATATATTCCACTAGCTCCTGATATGCATATTTCAAAGCTTAAAATATTTGAAAATCATATTTGATCCAAAATTTATAGTTGAACCCCTCTAAATTAACCAACACCACAAATGGAGAGGGGTGGACATGATAGGGTATTAAAAAGCCTGGATTGGTAATTTTAATTACGGTTTTTAAAAATATTATATTATTACCATAACAAACTAATTCGGTATGATTTAGTATTTTAAAGTTTGGTTTCAATATTTTACTGTACGGTAAATCGGTTAATATAGTTTGGTCAACTTTAAGTCTTCAACTTATATATATATATATATATATATATATATATATATATATATATATATTTATTTATTTTAATTTTTTTTTTAAAGATTGATATATCATTTTTATATTCAAAATACTCTTGTATTCTATACATTTTCATTTCATGTATTGAAAAAATTATTGCATCATAACTATGGCTAGTATGTAGATATACTTGTTCCATTTCTGAAATTGCTTTACCCATATGAAATAAAGCTTTTTTATGCTTCCAAGCTCTTTTCCTTATGCTATGCAAAGATTTTTGAACAAATTTCATTTTTATGCTAAGAGCATGGATATAAAATATTTTTTATGCTGATAGCATGGATATAAACATGATGTTGTAACATGAGATTTTTAATTTATATTTTTATTCCCTATAGGTACTAAGTAATTCTTATATGTCTAAGTATGTGAAAGTATAATATATTTTATTCTTCAAAATAATAATATGAGATAAAAGTTGTGTGTTTATACCTTCCTTCTTTTATTCGATGAATAGTCCTTATCACTACCGCAGTAGTTCTCCTCCAGGCAATGAACAGTATTTCAGCCTAATCGACCTCAGTCTTGCGGCTTACTTCCTTATTGTTCCCCCTTAAGGCAGAAAATCGCAACCTTCGTTTAAGACTATTTATGGAGTATAAGAAGAGAGCTATAAAAACCAAACTCTATTTCATATGAATATTTTACGGACAAACTATACTATATTTTACAATACTCACGACATAAAAGAAATACTTTTCCCTGGCGGGAGAAGTTACTACTCATTCACACTCATACTCTTAGAAGTACCTAACATTTTTCTTTCAAGTGTTTTCTCTCAGAAAATGTAGTCTGCCTCTCAAGTATGAAGTTCCTCTCCTTTTATAGATGGAAGGAGGGACTTATTACAAAATATATGTTTTTAGGGACTTCCCTAAACTTCTACATATTTTCTCTTTAGTCCTTCACTGATTGAAGATTCTTTGTTGATAAGATGAGGATGTCTTTTTCCATCTTCTTTTGTTGATGGCCGACAAGATGTGACCTCTCTTTTTGACTTTGAGGAAAAGAAAAGATTCTTTTCGTTGTTGATATCTTAATGACGTAAGTGCTTACGTCTCCTGTTTTGTCTTTCATTTGACAGCTATTCCGCTCCTGGGTGATTATGATCTAGCATTTTACATGCTAATTTCCATGTTTCTTCTGTTGCTCCTAATCTGTGAAGCTCTATGTCAAGAATTCTATCTTTTAATTTAGACTTTTCTTTGGTTACCAAAACCCAATCTTGGTCATCAAAACCCAATCTTGGTCTTGATCTATGACTCTGCAGTCTTCATTATAGAATCGTTTAAGAATAAAATATAATGCTTTTATTCCTAAAGCTCGTCTAGTTTGAATCCATTTCTTGTTAAGATGAGGAAGTTTCTTGTCTACACCTGTGACTTTGACATTGAAATCTTTTATTTTTTCAACTGCTATGTAGTTGAGAGTTGAATAATAAGCCTGCAAATCTTTGCATTCCATAGAAATGCTGTAAAATCTGCAATAAACGCCATTTCCTTGGGCATAGTTTTTAACTGAATTAAACAGTTTTGCTGGTAGTTGTGATAATTCTTTTAGATCCTGTTTTGCATATACACGATCTAAATATCCAAATTCAAATAATTGAGCTGTGAAGCTCGGTGATCCATTTGGAAATATTGATATTCTCGGAAACAAACTTGTTGTTCCTAAAACACCAAATGTTTCTCCGCTTTCTTCAGGGAGGTTGTATACGTATCTTGTAAATGCAAGATACTCTTCTTCTTTAGGGTGTTTTTTGCCAACCTGAAAAGAAGAAAACACTTTTGTTCCTGATGGAACTTGGTTAGTTTTACTTTCTGGTTTCCCAAAGAGATAGGTTTTTCCAGCTTTTGCTGATGATGAGCTTGTTCCTTCTTTCGAAGTAGAAGCTTCTATTGCTCGGCTTTTTCTACATCTTTCGATATATGAATAGACATTTCCGTGCTTACCTTTGAGATGTTTTGGGCACTAGGTGCTAGTGGGACATCTCCTGCCACTTTGTTGGGATTAATATTCCCCTTTAGAATTGAATTCTGTTTTGGATATGTATCCAATGTTCACACAAGAGTAAAAATTCTCTCATGTTTTTCAGCTTGTGTGGTATTGAGATGATTTATTTCAAATTGTAAAATCCGAGCTTGTTCAGATAACTCTGATAGTTCATCTCTGATTTTGAATAGCCTCTGGCTTTTATCGTCTATGGATTCATCCACTGTTTCCATTTTTGCATATATCCAGTTTACCAGGATTTTCATCCAATTGTCCATATTGGACATTTCTGGAGATAAAATCTACAAGAAAATTGTCACTTCCTTTAATGTATTCTATTGTAAATGAATAAAAGGATAATAACACTTGCCATCGATGCAATCTTCTGTATTAAGGTTCAGAAAGAAGCTTGTTAACTATTAGTCCTGATACCTGCGTATTATCAGTTCTAATAACAAATTGTTTTGGCAAAAGGAAAGTAGAGAATTTTCTAATTCCTCTAACAATAGCCAATAACTCTTTTTCATTTGTAAAATATCTTGTTTCAGCATCATTAAAAGTATCACTCGTGTACTTGCAAATTTCATTTAAATCGGTTTGCAATAATGCTCCCCAATGATAGTCAGATGCATCAGTTTGTAAAACCAGATCATCATTGTCTTCTGGTAATCTAAGTTTTGGCAACTTAGCACATTCTTCTTTTAGACTTTTGATACACTGTGTGTGTTCTTCTGTCCATCCATGTCTATTGGATTTTCTTATTAATTTTTGTAGTATATTTCGTTTCTTAGCTAAATCCGGAATAAATTCTCCTGCGTAATTTAAACAACCTAAAAATCTTTGAATTTCTTGTTTTGTTGTTAATTTATCAGGAAATTCTATGATCTTTTTTGAGATGTGTGATTGGAGTTCTATTCCATTTTTTGAAATAATCATCCTTAAGAATTTTATTTCATTTTTATTGATGTCAGCTTTTTTCTGACTTAACACAATTTCATTTTTCAAACAAATTTCTGAAAATTCTTTCAGATGTCTTAAATGTTCTTCATATGTTTTAGAACATATAGAATGTCATCTATATAAACAATTAAAAAAAAAATTTCTGAAAATATTTTATCCATTTTTCTTTGGAATATTTGTGGCGCATTTTTTAACCTAAAGGGCATGACCAACCACTCATAATGTCCGTTAGGAGTACTGAAAGCAGTTAACTGAATTGAATTTTCTGCTAATTTTATTTGCCAAAATCCACTTTTACAGTCAAATTTTGAGAAATAGGTTTTTCCTTTTGCAAGGTTAATCAGATTATTTTTATTTGGGATAAAATATCCATCAAATAAACAGTTTTTATTTAGCTCTTTATAGTTTATCACCATACGAACTTTTCCTCTTTTTATTTCAGCATGGTTTCTTACCATAAATGCTGGGCTACTATGAGGACTTTTACTCATTCTTATTAATTTTAAGTTGAGTAATTCTTTAATTTGAATTTTAAATTCAATTTTATCATTTTCGTTGTAGAGCATGGGTCTTACTCTGATGATTATGCTAGGGTCTTTTAAGGTTAAAGTTGCCCTTTCATGATTTTGTTCCCATTTTTTCTAATGGATTTTCTCCATAAGATTTTTGTAGATTTTCTTTAATCTTTTGTAGATTAAGACACTTACAAGTAATTTTTCTTAGATTTTCTAAGTATTTTCTTTTAAAATTTCCATTATCTTTTTCAAGATTATATGGATTTTGTTTTCTTGGGACTTTTATAAAATGTCCGCAAGGAGTCTTAAGGCTTATCATGCTAATGTTTGATGATAATCCTGAAACTGTTGTAGAAAATCATTTCCTAATAATAAATCTGTTTCCAGTTTATCATAAGCAAATAATTTATTTATAGAAACAATCTTTGATCCTAAGATTATCTCTACTTTCTCTTTAAACTTTGAAAGTCTTTCTTTATCTCCTGTGATTCTAATCATTGATATGTTATTTTT